TATTTCTCTCGAGGCTCTGACATTGCCTGTTCCCTGGAAAAACGCTCTACTGTCAGATCCTTTAAGATGGTTGGAGCAGCTGCAGTCAAGCCCCCCTCAGCCCACCCCCAGGGCCAGGCCTCCCCCATCGCTCACCTTCTGGGCCCTGCTCAGCTGGCCCCGGAAGCGAGCCTGCTGCACAGCCAGCCTCCAGCGGCCCAGGCTCCTCACTTTGCACACCAGGGCGGCCAGGCTGCAGTTCTCCTGCTCCAAGTCCCGCAGCTGCTCCTGTGAAGAAGGCTCACTTTCAGAAAAGGCTGCCCCCAACACTTTTCTTGGGAGAGCATGAACCCTAACGTCAGAAACATGCCTTCCAGAAGATGACACAGTTGTGCCCTTTCAATATGCCTAATGCGTTCCTTGCTTTCTCAGGGGAACCTGACTGGAATGCAGAGTGAGCGGTGGGTCAGACGCTGGAAGAAGTGCTGATATCCCATTGCTAAATGAAATCACATACTTTGGCTGCGCTTTCGTTCATTCCTTCATCAGGTCTGGCAGAGCCCCATTTTTTCTTTAGGTCCTTCATGTGATCCATCCATTCTGTTCTCACTTCGCTGATGAGCTCACACACTTTCTGGATCAAATTAAGCTGATTCTCATGCAACTTCTCCTGCAAATCGCAGACTCAGGTTCAGGAAGGGCAGTAGTGGAAGAGTCGTTTTGCCTTCTAAAATGCAACTTTCAGAAATGATTCCACATGAAAAAAGCATCCACCCACCCAGACAATTATTTCATCAGGTATTACCTGGATGTCTCTCTAGCAGCCCCGTTAGTGTGGTCTTCAACCCGCAGGGCTTCACCACCTGAGAGCCTGCCTAGTTGTCAGACACCAAGGCAAGTCGAGTGAGCAGGAGAGTGGGAGATCACAGATGGAAAATTACCCCCCCCCCCACTGCCACGTGGTTACTTAGACATTTAAACTCAGGGATTTTTAAAAAAATATGTTTTTATTGATTTCAGAGAGGTAGGGAGAGGGAGAGAGAGGTAGAAACATCAGCGATGAGAGAGAGAATCATTAATCAGCTGCCTCTTATAGGCCCCACTCTGGGGATCGAGCCTGCAACTCAGGCATGTGCCCTGACTGGGAATTGAACCATGACTTTCTGGTTCATTGGTCGATGCTCAACCACTGAGCCATACCAGCTGAACTAAATTTAGGGATTTTTGCTATCAGGTTGACTCAGCAGAATCTGACCTGATAAAACACGGTGGATTAGTCACTAACGGGGAAGTCCATTAAACATAGATACAGCAGAGGAAGGAATCGGGCTGGCTGCCTTCCTAGTTAGGCTCCAGCAGAAATCTCATAAACAGCCTGTTCTGAACGGCTTATGGTGAAATGACTTGATCACTGGAAACTCAATGTTCTTCAGTTAAAGGTGAGAGTGGGGAGTCTTCTCACCTTTGAACCACTTCCCTGGGGAGGAAGGCAGGAGGAGAGTGCCCCGCTGGGAGCCACAGCGGGGAGCCGGCTGCTGGCCTCACAACAGAAGCTTCACCATCTTTTTGAGACCTTGGGGCAGAACAGGGACTTCCCCGTTAGTGACTAATCCACAGTGTTTGACGAGGTCAGATTCTGCTGAGTCAGCCCGATGGCAGAATTGGGGGCGGTTGTAGAACTAGTTTAGCCTGGGAGAAGCACTGAATCCACTTTCTGTCTAGGAATCTGGCAGAAGCTACAAAGAACTTAAGACATTTTCAACAACCTCACACTCGAAAGATGGCTTAGCAGATTCCAGCTTTCACTGTCTGCTCACCCCTCCCCTGCAGCGTCAGGCCCACGCATTTTGGTTTTGATCCTTTAATATCTGTAAGCACTTGTACTCCGTGGGCCCTTCACAAGTGAGAAGGACTCTCCAGCCCTCCCTGGAATGACCAGGCCAGGGCGGAGCATCAGCAGAAGCTCCTCTCAGTGTGATAAGCCTGGGACAGCCCTGGACTCCCCGGAGAGATAGGGAAGGACCTGCTGGGGCTGGCTCTGGGAATGTCTAATGTGGGGAAGGGGCAGTGGACTGGAGGGTGGTGGGTTTGAACTGAGATTTGTACTGTGGGACAGCTGGCCCAGGCTCTGCGATGACCCATTCTAGGCACCCAGGCCTCCATTTACAGCTGCTCAGACGTCATGAGAAAGCGACAGGCTTCCTCAGTGCTGTGAGCACATGGGCACCCATCACTGCTCTTCCAGATGGGCCTCACTCACGGGTCAGCCGCTCCCTGACACGGATGGTAGAGAAAGGCTGGTGGGCATTTTGAGGGCTGGAAAAATCTTGAAAGATGATCCAAATTCTGAATCTGCCCAGCGAGCTTTCTGGCGGTGCCTGGGGTCCGGCCTGGCCCAGGGCACTGTCCTCTTCTGTTTGGATGGTCACACTGAATAGACATTGGAGAAGAAGACTCCCCCTTCCTTCCCTCAGCTGGCAGTAGAGTGAGGAAAAGAGAAAATTTCTAAATTACCTAAAATTCAGTGTCTTTTCTCATAAAATAATGACAACTCATTGCTGACTCGTTCTCTGTAGAGAAAGCTCAGAGCTGGAAAATTCTTAGGGCCATTCTGTCATCAACCCCGCTGTGTGCAGCGCCATGGGGTCAGCTGCACCCGCTCCCCACAGGACTGCCCTGGTGTCCGACCCAGGCCACTTACTTTCATGTGTAAACAACCCATAAACAAGGTTTTGACTAAATCTGCATATTCTTCTTGCACTTCTTTTCTGATTTGCTTTTCGAGATTCAGATTCTCCTCTTCCAAATCCGTGAGGCGGGCTCTCAGAGCAGTGATTTCCATGATCATATCATGACTGAGCTCCGCAACCTAGCAGCAGAAACATTTTCTTTCAATGGAAGATAGTTTGGGAATTCCAAACAGCCTCTACCGTGTGCACTTCTCCTTTAAGCCTAATGTACAGGATGAGTACCCTGTTGTGCAAAGGTAGGTGGGAGAGTCTAGGTGGGTTTGAGGGTCAGAGAACAGTACCAGACACAGAGTAGGTGCTCAGTAAATGGCCGCTGAATGAATGACCCCAGAGGATACACTAGTTCCTTTTCATTTGGAGGAAAGATTTCAACTCTCTTGGCCTCCATGTCCAAATGCCCCTTGATACTTCAGCCTACATAACTCTTCTTCTTTGGAATTGCACTTTAACCGACCTCAAAAGAAACAAACAACGCCTCTCTCCCAAACCCAAAAATAACAACAAAAAGAAAAAACAAATCAATAAAAATAACAAAAAATACCGAATAAAACAAACAAAAACCCCCCACATTTCTTAAAAAGTGAACGTCAGCCCTCGGATGTTTCTGCAGCACACCCTCACTGGCGGAGCTTTCCTCGAGGAGGCACGGGAAAGCAACACCAGGGAGTCCCAGGCGTGGCTACCGCTGGGGCTGTGGAACTGAGAAATGGAGAAGAGAAACTTTTTAGTAATAGCCGACCTACCTGGCCAGCATTATCCTCAGGTGGACTCTGACCTCTTCGTAAAACATCTAATTCCTGAAGAGAAGAAAGCAGTGCACAACTAAACTCAAACATGCACTCTTCCAGCCATGGCCCAGTTCAGTACCACATGCTCCAGACACTTCCGATTTGTGTTCATGGAGTTTCATTTAGATCAGTGGTTCTCAACCTCCTGGCCCTTTAAATACAGTTCCTCATGTTGTGACCCAACCATAAAATTATTTTCGTTGCTACTTCATAACTGTAATGTTGCTACTGTTATGAACCGTAATGTAAATATCTGATATGCAGGATGGTCTTAGGCGACCCCTGTGAAAGGGTCGTTCGACCGCCAAAGGGGTCGAGACCCACAGGTTGAGAACCGCTGATTTAGATCCTTGGGCCCCACCCAGAGCCAGGACTGTGCTTCAGGATGACCAGTCCAGCATCAAAAGACAGCATGCACTTCCAGGTATCCACACTGACACAGAGGACTCAGCTACGGGGACAAGCCAAGCTGGGGGCCAGAGCCAAGACTCATGATTTGATATTTTAATGCTTCATTTGTTCAGACCTTTGCACTGTTTTTAGGTATGCACTGAAATGACACTGAACCTCCGATGCAATCCATTTCCAAAAGAATGCAATCTAGGACAGGAGAAGCGACTCTTGGGGCCCACAGGGGGGTCTCAGTTTAGGGAAGCTTCATCCTGAGACCCATGATGTGCGTCCTGAAGATGCGTTGACTCAAGGATCCTGGCTTTTCTGCTGGACCAGAACAGCACCAGGTGCCTCGTGTTTGTCAAGGGTGGGAAGGTCAGCTATGCATCTTCCCTGGGGGGCAGCTCCTTAGCTGCTCACCTCTTATTATATTCCCACTAGACACCTCCAACCCACACAACCCACTCTTGCTGGGGCCACCCCCTTTGTGGCTGAGAATACCAGCAGGAGAAAATGAGCCAATGAGAAGAGGAATTTGGAGCGTGCCATCCACCCTCAGTTCTTACATAAAAACACCTCTCCCCACCCTCTGTTTCACTTTCTTCTTCAGAGTGACTCCGGGGCCTCCCTCCCTCTACCTCCCCCCTTGCTTCTGGCCTTGGGGGACATACCTGCTCCTTCTGACTGAGCTTCAGCCTCGTGTGCTCCAGCACATGCTCGTAACACATGGAGTAGCTCTCGAAGTTGCTGCGTTCCCGCGCCATCACATCACACCCCAGGGAAAGGAGGCAGGCCTCCAGGTGGTCTTTCCTGAAAGTGATCTGAAAAGGAAGGGGCACCGTTCACAGCCGCGCCAGCAGGGCAGCCTCACCAGGCCCGGGCTCATGGCGCAGGCTGCCCGGGCTCACAGAGCCACTTCCCTTTCTCCTCCGTCAGCCCTAGCCTCTCTTTCAGGTCTGCCCTCAACATGTGCAGAACCAGGGACACGCATACAAGGGGAGGCCCACATACCATATGTCTAAGTATTCTGAATATTTAAAGGTTATAAATCAAACTAACAAACTATTAAGAAAAAAATGTTTAATTCTCCAACTTTGGAAAATAGACCATCAAAAACGACTTGGGTAACAACAAATACATATCTATCAACAAGTGAATCTAAAAATCAAGTGAAGAAAAAATCTGATGAACAGAATAAACTGGTGAATATAATAGAATCAGAAGCATAGAAAGAGAGTGGACTGACAATTCTCCGGGGGAAGGGGGTGTTGGGGGTGCGGGAAGAGATTGGACAAAAATCTTACACCTATGGATGAGGACAGTGGCGGGGGCGGGGGGGTAAGGGCAAGGGGTGGGGTGGGAACTGGGTAGGGGGGAGCTATGGGGGGAAAAAAAGAGGAACAACTGTAATAATCTGAACAATAATGATTTATTAAAAATAAAAAAAATGACTTGGAAGGCAAAGTTTGAATTTATCATTCTTGGGCTACTCTGAGTTCTGTGCTGAAATGTGGTGACTTGGGGAGAGATACCCCCCACCCCAGTTTATAGTAACGACTCCCATCGCTTCTCCTTCTGGCCTCCCATCATCCTGCAGAGGACCCTTGCATGCAAGCAGACAATGCAGCCTTCCACGCCCATACACAGCTGCCCTGGACCACCCCTCAGGCCAGGTGCACACGCTGGCAGTGAGGCCCACTCTCCCTCTAGGGAGGATGATCGGGGAAGAGGCCCTGGACTCAGGGAACTCCAGGGTCCCAGGCACTTGCGTGTGGTCTGGATGGAAGGCCAGGGATCTGAGTGTGCGTGTCCCCCTGGCTGTGTGGATTTCTCACTCTGGGGAAGGGTGGGGCTGGACGAAAACCAGAGGGCCCTCTGAAGAATGATGCATCTGGCAGTCCCTCTTCCTCTGGCCGAAGGGCCTACTCTTCACTCTTGGAACACTCCCATTCCCTCCCTCTCTCCTTCTGAGGTGGTGGCCATTCGGAACAGAGGAAATGTCCACCCCTCCAAGGCAGGCTTAGATTTTGGCTCTGGAGAGAAATGGGAGCCAGTATGTGGAAGGTTGGACAGATCTACTTGACTAGGGCCTGCATGTCTATGTGAATGCTTATGTGTCTGTGTGTGTTTACATCAGTGTGCGTCTGTGTGCATTTGTGGATGTGTGAGTGTGTGCCTGTATCTCTCTCTGTATATCTCTATCTGTATCAGTGCTCTGTGTCTGGGTGTGTCCCTCTAGGAGTATCAGTGAGTGTGTCTGTGTGTATCTGAGGGTTTTATGGGGCCCACTCTACTAGTAAGAGTCAGCCTTCACGCTACAGGAGCGTTATCTGTGATACTTCCAGGGTCAGGAGGGCTCCAGCTCACTGGCAGTCTGTTGCAGAAACTAGGCCGTCTTTCCGGCCTGGGGTGGGTCCCTGGCTCTGGTTCAATTGCCCGGGCGAGGCCCAGGACACTGTCCTATCAGTGCAACCTCAGTGCCCCCCTTGACCTCCAGAGAAAGCCCAGACAGGCTTTGCCAAGGCAAGTGATTGAGGCAAACTAGCAGGGATGGCAAATAGTGATAAAACCCAGACGGGTGAGCGAGGAGAGTGGCCTGCTCACCACTGCTAATGGGAAGGGAAGTTAGTGTGTTTTGGAGGGCAGACTAGCAGTATCTATGAAACAGTGTTAAAATGTCTTTGCCCTTTGACCTAATAACCCCTCCTCTAGGCATTTATCTTTAGGGAATAATAAATGCTACACACAAAAATATAGGTAAGCAGATGTTGTTTATAGTAGCCTCTCTAATATAAAAGAAAAACGGAAACAATCTAAAGTACTTAATAATGGGAAAACAGGTTGAATCCATCTCACCCATCAATACAATGAAATACTAAACAGTCACCAAAATCATGCTATGGACATACACTGAGTGGCCAGATTATTATGACCACCCCATCAGTACTTCACGACACTTCCAAAAATACTGAATATTGAAAATGTCCTAAGCAAATACTCTCAAGGTTTTATTATTATTATTATTTGCATAACTAATTCACTTCATTGTACTGATGGGGTGGTCATAATAATCTGGCCACTCAGTGTATGTTTACTGACAAAGAGACATATTTATAACACATAGTCAAGGGGGAAAGCACACTATAACAAAAGGGCATATAGAGTAATCATATTTTATTAAAAAGTACATTAAAAAATGTTATAAGGTTTGGAAGGAAATACGCCAAAATAATAATAGTGATTATCAATAGAAGGTAAGATTATGAGTATATTTTCTAACACATCATATTCCTATTTTCTAATACAATGATAAAATGTATATATAATTGCAATAATTATATATAAAGCACATATAAATAAAATATATACTAATTAGAAGATAGTAAAGCTTTTGAAAAGGTCATCAACTGTAGCAGAATGGAAACAGTAGATGGAAACCTCTGCTCATGGGGGATTTTATGAGAAGGAGCCAGGGAGTCAGGAGAAGGTTCCCCTTGTGGAGTGGGGGTGGAGGCATCCATCCTGCCCCTGGGAAGTGAGCCAGAGTTAGCTGCTGACACCAAGGCAAAGGGAACCAAGGTACCATCCCTTGGACCTTGAACTTTTTATGGAGAAAGGGCCAAGGCTATGTGAATTTAATAATCACAAAGGAAACACGTCCTGGACTGAGTGGAGTGAAAGCCTTAAGCCTTGAGACCATATTTGGGGTCAGCAAGGTGTGGCCAGTGGCCCCATCCAGGTGAGCTGGGCCCAGCGCTTGGAGTCGGCCAGCAGCGCTGGGACGCGAATGTACCAGCAGGGCCTCCAACAGCTCTTTAGCAGGGCAGTCACTTCTCACACTGACACCACCAGGCCACTGCAGATACAGGACCCCAACTAAACAGAAATGCAGACTTGAACCACAGTGGCTCTCTGCCTTCTCCTCTTGGCCAGCATGGCGCTTTTCCCAGCAAGGATGGGGAACCCTTGGGTGAGTCTGTCACACCAAAGAGGTGGGAACGGCCAAGACCTGCCGGTGAGCATCTCCGGAGGCTAGAGAAGTTGTGTTGCTTCCTTCCCTCAGTGGCTCTGCTGATGCCTCAGAAGATTGGGCTGAAAGAACAGCTCAAGGGGAGGGCACAGAGGGGCTGGTGTGAAGGCAGGGAGAGGTGGGAAGGGCCCAGCCAGAGCCTCTGCAGTGGCGACCTGGAAGGGGAAGCATGTCTAGCGGGGTGGGCAGGCAGGAAGCTGTGACTGACAGGTGACAAGAGGTCCAGGAAGCTCCTGGCAGCCCCTCTCTCTGGGTGAACATTGGTTCTGCCGCCTGCGTACTCGGCCTTCCAGAAGCGCGTTTGGAGCTACCTGAGCAGCATCTGTTGTGGGACGACAGCCTATGTGGCTTCTGTTGGCACAATCCTTCTCTGAGCTCTCAGAGTAATTTGTTTCTTTCTGTTTTTTAATTGATTTTTAGAGAGAGAAGAAGGGAGAGGTAGAGAGAAAGAGAAACATCGATGTGAGAGGGTAACATTGATCAGCTGCCTCTTGCTCACCCAATACTGGGGATCAAGCCTGAAATCTGGGCATGTGCCCTGACCAGGAATTGAACCAGCAACCTCTTGGTACATGGGATGATGCCCAAGCAACTGAGGCACGCAACTGAGGCACACTGGCCAGTACATAATTTGTTTCTTTTCTTTTCCTTTCTCTCTCTCGCTCTCTCTCTCTCTCTTAACGAATGAGGCAATTTATTAACCCAGCATTTGTTCTTCTTGTTGGCAGCTGCCACCTGCCCTGCGATTCTGTCCAGATCTCTCTGTCCCTGAGGTGTCCATTCGTGACCTCCATCCTGATCCTTTTCCACCATTTTCAGCCCCGCCAGGGCTTGGGGGACCCTGCGAGCCACGCTCTTAGAGCCTCTGCTAAAGTGGCGGGCACGGCACCACTTCTCTGCCGCCTCCATAGATCTTGGTCAAGGAGCCAACCCAGCGCCTCCCTGAAGGTGCAGGTGCCGCGCTGTGGAAGCAGCTCGTGTGCGGAACCTGTTCTCGTCGCAGGGAGCACGCTCTCTATGCTTGGCCAGCTTGGCAGTGCCCACCCACTCAGGGACTGTCAGCTTCCCGGACTTTTGGAGGAAGGCTGCCGGAGCTCTGAGAACTCCCGCTGGTTCACATCTTTTACAGTAACTCCGGCCATCGTGCGGCCTCCTCACTGCCAGCCAAGGGAGAGGGAGCATCGAGGTTTTCCACAATTTGTTTCTTAAAAGCTATTCTGGCCTGGCCGGTGTGGTTGAGCGTCGGCCCATGAACCAGGAGGTCACAGTTCCATTCCGGGTCAGGGCACATGACCAGGTAACGGGCTCAATCCTCAGTAGGGGGCCTGAGCAGATGATCTCTCTCTCTCTCTCTCTCTCTCTCTCTCTCTCTCTCTCTCTCTCTCATTGGTGTTCCTATCATTCTCCCCCCTCCCTTCTTCTCTCTGAAATAAAAAAATATATATATATGAAAAAGCTTACAACCCACCGCTGCCTTTGTAGGTTACTAAATGTCACCTCTGTGTCAAAATACAGTAGGGAGGGGCTTCATCAGCCAACTTCCCCTCCAAAGGCCGGCCCCTGGTTCCAGAAGAATCCCAGAGTGAGGACCATTAGCTCAGTCCTCTAGTAAGCTGACTCCTTCACCAACATTTAACCCTGACCCCCGATGATGGCACTGACTGATAGCTCGGGAGGTTGCACAGGGATTCTTCTGGAGCCAGTGTGAGGTGAAGCATGGCAGGTGCCAGGTCTCATTATGGCAAAAGTCTGGACCTGCTGGGAGCAAATTGCTCTTTTGTGGTTTTCTTCATCTGAGAGGCTCTCATGACAGTTTGTCTAACATCAGGAACACAAGGCGTTTTGATGATGTTTCTAAAACCCACCTCTGCTGACACAATGCTTCAGTGATTTCCCACCGACTCTAGGATGATATCCAAACTCCTAAGAATTGCACACCAAGACCTGACAGCACCTGGCCCTGCCCACCTTTCCAGTGTCCACCTCTGAGTTCTATACTCCCTTCCTAGATTGCTCTGCCTTCTTTCCCTGACCCCTCTTCATCTGTTAAGTCCTACTTGTTCTTCAAGACTTGACCCAAATAACACCTCCTACAGGAAGTCTTCCCTGATGGCTTTCTGCCCCCATCCTCTAGCAGGATTGTGCCCCCTTCTCTGAACTCATAGAATTCTGTGTCTGCCTCTATCAGAGTACTTAATGTGAAGTGCCTTTCTCAACATTGCTGACATTCGGTTCACATAACTGTTTCAGTAAGCTTTTTGGGGGCAGGGACTGTATCTTTTGCCTTTATACCTCTAATAAAGTGCCTGGAAAAAATATATCTCTAAACACTTGCTGAATGAGTGAGTGACTTGGCATATAAATGGAAATGTTCTGGAACCCACAAAATAGATGATAGTTGCTCTGATTTGCAATAAAGGTTAGTCTCTGACTTCAGGCCAGGGTGTTTGGTATAAAATTTGGGCAAGATGTTAGAATTAACTGTGAAAGTCTGGTTTTTAGACTCTGGAGAAGGAAGCAAAGATTACAACATGGGTTCAAGAGAAGTCAGATCAGATTAACCTCAGGAAACAGAGTAGATTCGGCGTATTTGAATTTTAGCAGGATATCTGAGGTTTCTTCAGACAAGCTTGGGCAAATGGAGAACAACTGGAGGGGCTTCTGGCCGCTGACAGACTGTGCCCAAAGAACCTAGTGAGCCTGGAGGGGACCCAGAGTGGGCAGCACAGGGCTTGGGGCCCATCCTGTCATACACTGTTATTAAATGACTTGAATGAGGACAGCCAGGGCAGGTAGGGAGAGACTGTATCCTGGATGATAAAAATCCAGGTTTTGAAAGAGTTCAAAAGGTTCAAAGTGAACAAGAACAAAGCTAGTCACATGGCAGCTGCAGGATGCCTACAGGCAATGCGTGGGCTTCAGGTGACGTGTTAGCCTTGAATTGGCTGCCGCAACCTGACACACATGGGCATTAGTCACTCACAACCCCAGGTCAAGGGCACTCCTCACTGGACAGACAACCTTGAGTTTAGAGGAGACTGATCAGGACGGTGGGGGCTCATGTAAAGTGATGAAGGAAGTGAAGTGGGTTAGTCTGAAGCAGAGAAGGCTGGGCATAGGCCCTCCATGTACTGTGCTCGTATATAGGGTTAAGCCTCGGACTGACCTGCTGGCAAAGTCACAAACAAGTCCCAGCTTAGAGGGCGCAGTCCTCTTAGCATAATTAGGCGTGACCTTATAACACTCCCTAGATCTTATCTGGGAAGCTAATGGGCTGAGGGAAGTGTAGGAAATATAACTATGGTCAAAACAAGTGAAACTCACAAGAACTGTGTAACTATGGTAACCACTACCTTGTTTACCTCTGACTATAAAAGGTTGGTGCGGCGTGAGCACCAGTGGAAGTCTTGAGTTGGACTTACCGCCTGGCCCCCCAATATTCCCAAATTATCTCTTGTCTTTTCTCTTTCATTTGTGTGCGGCTCCTCTTCCAGATCCTGAACTCTGAACCACGCGGGACGTGGAGGGAAACATTTACAACAATATGCCATGGCACCGGGCAGCCACCTTCAGGAGGAAGGGGTGATGGCTTCTTCTCCACCACCTGTCTGGTTTGTCCTCCTGGAGCAGGCCCCCGGTTGTAACTTTACGGAGGCTTCACACGTGTTAGCGGTGGTGCTCACTGAGCTGCTCTGACTGACCTACCTGCCCTCAGGTAGCTAAGGCTCATTGTGAGGCGTCGGAACCATGACGTGTGGTGTCCCAGGGTCCATAGTGGAGATGGTGGGATGGCCAAATCCAGCTCAGTAAGAGCTGCCTGGAACAAGAGCTTCCAGGAATCGGGAGAGAGGGAGGAGTTGGAAGAGTGAGTCCCGGTCACTGCAGATGATCCGGAGGAGTCCAGAAGCCCACCAGGCACAGGCTTTGCAGGGACCTCGCATCCTGGGGTTATTCCAAGACACCGGCAGGCAGACACCGGTCTCTTCAGTGGGCCCTGAGTTTCCGTTGTGCCTGATATGGGTTTGCTCCGTCTCCTACTAAGTACCAACGGTTCTTTCCTAGAGATCCTGTCTTCAGTGTTGGGGTGAAGTATATGGATAGGGGATGAGCAGATCTTGAGTCACAAACCTTTCTTTTCTTATTGTGGTAAAAAGCACATCACATAACGTAAAATTTGCCATTTTAGCTGTTTTTAAGTAGACAGTTGAGTGACATTAAGTACATTCATACTGTTGTGCAATCAATCCCTAGAACACTTCATCTTGCAAAACAGAAACTGTACCTACTGCACTAACTCCCTCTTCCTCCTCCCCCTAGCTGCTGACTACCACCCTTCTACTTCCTGTCTACGAATTTGACTATTCTCCAATACCTCATATAAGTGGAATCATGCAGCATTTGTGCTTTTGTGACTGGCTTATTTTACTTAGCATAATGTCTTCAAGGTTCATCATGATGAAGCATGTGTCAGAATTTCCTTCCTTTTTAAGGAGAGCCACACATTTTTTTTTAAGATTTTTAAATTGATTTTTAGAGAGAGAGGAAGGGAGGAGAGACAGAAACATCGATGTGAGAGCAAGACATCCATTGGCCACCTCCTGCATGTCCCCTACTGGGGATCGAGTCCACAACCCAAGCATGTGCCTTACGAATCTGCCTGGCAACCATTCGGTGCACAGGATAATGCCCAACCAACTGAGCCACACTGGCCAGGGCAGCCACACCATTTGGGACTCATTTTTTCTGAGCCCCACCCTAATAATGTCTGTGCCTCTGGCTGAGAACCTCCAAGGTATAAGGGACCCAGAAAGAACCACTCAGCCCTCATCACAACAGACAGAGTCCCTCTTGGGTATAACTGAAAGCTTGAAGCAAATCCGTGTAAATCATCCAGTTCTGAGGAAAAGCGTATCCCCAGCCAAGCTTGGGAACGCTCTACCTCATGATTAAGAACTGAAGTGATTATAAATTATGGAAAACATTTGAAGAGCTTAAAAAATGTAATTTCGGAGAAAACATTGTCATGTAACAATGGAGTACATTTTGCTAAGCCAGGTTTTTAAAAATGGTTGAATTTCAAAGGAAACTGGATTCATGTCAACCAAATGCACGTATGTTTAATTTGTTAATGATCCCAAAAGCTCTGTTAAGGCTTAATATCCACATATACTCCTGACTTTTTGGTGGATTCCTTTGATTTAGGAAGGCACTGCTGTCAAGTGCCTTGGACTGTGTATATGTGTGTTGCATATACTATATAGAGTTGTTATGGATTCAAGTATGTATACACAGAAAAAGTCTTTGACACTGGTTTCCTGTGTGGAGAGGAAACGGGATGGTGGAATGGAGGAGCGATAAAAATGTTACCTTTCTGGGCTAAGTTTATTTCCCCCCCCCCATGTTGTACATTTAAAAAAATGTTTTTAAGTGGTATTATAGGCTATTTTGGTTTCTCTCTTTAAATATTCTATACTAAAAAACCAATAATAGGAAATGTTGCTAAAAGGAACTCATTCATAAATAAACCCCAAGCTTACTTGAAAAAATTGGCCAAATCTGAAATTAGCTAGCATGCATATTCTAATTTCTCTCCCATCATTGTTAGAAATCAGTCTTTTTCCAAAATTAAAGTGATTACTACTTTGAGTTTGGGCTCAGTATTCATATCTTTGTGCTAAGGGAGTAAGGAAAGCATTAGGAGTTGTGTTTATAGAACAATTTTCAACCTTTGTCATCTCATGGCACACATAAACTAATTACTAAAATTCTGTGGCACACCAAAAATACAGTATGCTTTTTGCCAATCTGACAAAAAATAGATATAATTTTGATTCATTTACACCAGACTGCTATTGTTGTGTTGGCTGTTGTCATTTTTTAATTTGACAACCTAAGAGAAAAGAGGTCAGTGCCCCTGACTAAAGAGTTAGGTATTGCATGTTTTAAAAATTCTTGTGGCACAGTGGTTGAAAATCACTGGTTTAGGGGAAAGTCTTCCTTGTTTGGATTTATGTTTAAAAAAACACACACAGTACAGACTGACTACTTTTTAATACATACCTCTAGTCCACCATCCTGGTAATTCTCCATTAATCTCTGCATAAATTTTTCAACTATTTGTGGTCTGATAACTGAGAAGTTTTCTTTCATGACTTGGCATTTCCAAAGGTCTAGGGGAAGAGACATACCACTGCTAGTATCATGATACAATGAACAACCATTAATGACTATGAAATGGTAACTCTCTGAGACAGCACTGGACACAGCTAGCTGTCATTTCCAAATACATTAGTGGGGAAGTGGGGGCGGGAAGGACGTGATTGAGGACACAGGATCTTTCAGAACATGGAAATAAGGAAGATATCTAACGAGACCCTAATGAAAAGATTTGGAAAAGCACCTCTGAAGACAGTGAACAATATTGCTACTGTAACTAAAAATCCTGAGTCAAATGTTATTGGTCCTGCATGACGTCACTAAGTGCCTATATGTATCTGAACAATTGTTTGGCCTAACACAATCATCAGAAATAAACGAAGAGCTATTATATGTATATATTTCAGTACATTCCTGGTGTTACAGGCAAAATTAATTTAAATATAGAGTTAATTTTAAAAAATGGGAGGAAATCCAAAAGAAAGAAAAGAGAGTCATAGGTTAGAAATGTTGAGAGTGGACAGACTATAAACTTTAGTTCTGAGACTGAAGTCACAATAGGGCTGACAGTTATGAGATGAGGCATATACACAGTTACTCACAATAGCGTTGTTTAGGACAGCAAAAGCTTGGAAACAAAACCTAAACTGTAGAATATCCTTCAAGTAGAATAGTATGAAGCTGTAAGAAAGAAAGGACCTTCTCCATGTACTGATATGAAAAGAAGCATCGGTTGTTAAGTGAAATATTCAACTTGTAGGACAGTGGATATAAAATGCTATCTTCTATGAGAAAGATATGATAAATATAATAAAGTAGAAGAATATCTCCTCAAGCCTATTCAATGTCATTGCTCCAAAAATTTGCCATTCTCCAATAGCATCACTTCTTCCCTCTTTCCTGGACCGCTCAAAATAGCATACATTATTTTTCCCACCTCATAAAAATCCTTCTCTAGACCCTACTTCTCCTGTCAGCCATTATCTCATCTCATCTCATCTCTTTGCTCCCTTTTTAGCAAAACTCTCAGAAAGAGATGTCAACCCTTACTGTGTGTGACTTATCTCAAAATCCTTCTTAAAGTCTCTCACCCAGCTTACACTTGCACCACTCCAATGAAACTGCTCGCCAACATGATCACAACATGGCTAAAGCCAGTGGTTTTACTTGACTACCAGCAACATTTCACACAATTTTTCACTTCCTTGTGCTTGAGAAACTTCTATCACTAGATGTTGGGACACCACCACTCTGTCCTACTTTTCCTCTGACTCACTGTTTGTTCCTTCTAGATCCCTTTCATTGATTCTCCTTTTCCCCTCCCCCCTCCCCGCTCCCAGCCCTTGACGTTAGAGTGTCTTAGGACTCATCCCTGAGTCAACCTCTTTTCCTATCTACACTCACTCCCTTGGATATTCCATCTAGTCTCATGGCTAAATAACATCCGTATGCTGACAACCCTCAAATTTAGATCTCATACCCACTTGGCATCTCTCCTTGGATGTCTAAAAGGCATTTCACACTTCTCTTGTGATTAATTAAATTCCTGATCTTTCCTCCCCAACTTGCCATCTCAGTTGATGGCAATTCTATTTTCCCAATAGCTCAGGTCAAAAATCTTGGAGTTATCATGGATTCTTCTCTTTCCCCCATACTCAATACTCAACCCATTAATGACTACTTCAAAAACATACCCAGAATCTGACCACGTAATACTTCCACTGCTCCAATCTTGTTTGAGCCACCTTGCTTGGATTATTGCAATAGCCTCCCAACCAGCCTCTCCCTTATTCCACCCTTTCTTCTTTCACTGCCCCTTCTTAAAACAGGAGCCAAAGAGATTCTATTAAAATGTAAGTCAGATCATGTCACTCAGAGCCTTGGGCCAGCTCCCCATTACATTCAGAGTAAACACTGAAGTCCTTACAAGGCCCTGCATGATCTGTTCTCCTTTCACTCTTCCTCTCTGACTTCATCTCCTACTATTCCCCCTCAATCTTTCCATTCCACTCACACTTGGGTCTTTGTTGTTCCATAAATGTGATAGGCATGCTCTGCTTAGAGCAGCGGTTCTCAACCTGTGGGTCGTGACCCTTTTGGCAGTCGAACGACCCTTTCACAGGGGTCGCCTAAGACCATCCTGCATACCAGATATTTACATTACGATTCATAACAGTAGCAACATTACAGTTATGAAGTAGCAACGAAAATAATTTTATGGTTGGGTCACAACATGAGGAACTGTATTTAAAGGGCCAGAAGGTTGAGAACCACTGGCTTAGGGGCTTCATGTGGACTGTTGTTCGGTCTGAATGCTCTTCCTCCAGATACCCATCTAGCTAACTCCGTCACTTTCTTCAAACTTTGATCAAAATGCACTTTCTCAGTGAAGTCTATTCTGACCACCCTAGTTAAAATTGCCATGTGCCCCTTCAAACCTCCACAGTGCCATCCTCCTTACTCCATTATCTCCTTATTTCTTAAGTTCATTGCTTATTGTCTGTCTACCCCCTTCTAGATGATAAACTCCATTAGGGTAAGGATTTCTTGCCAAGTAAGGATGCACCCCCAAAACAGTGCCTAAAATATAGAGGCCTAGAACATGGCATTGAGAAGGCTAAAAGGCTATGTAACCCTGATGTTTGGGAGGCTAGCAATCTGAGTCTGTGCAGTAACCTAATGTACATTCTTGGTAACCTATAATTAAGTCACTGCCCTTTTCCTCCACAATCTGGTCTTGCAAGACCTGTTACCTAAATGCTCACATTTTACAGAGGCCAAACCATGAACAACACACAATCCCCGGAGGGGGTTATCAGCGCTGGCGCCAGGCCAGGCCCTTAAATATGACCTCAAGACCCCCATCCCAACCCACTGGGCTTTTTGCAAAGCCCACAAAAGGTCCAGAAGTCCCCATCCATATTTGGGGGACAAAGAAACCAAAAGGGGATAAAAGAAGGGCTTCCCCCATATTGGTTTGCTCAGACTCTGGAGGCAACTCCTCTGAGACCGCCAGCATAATAAAGCTGTGTACCTCCATTTCTCTAAGCGTCGCTTGGGTTTCTTCGGTCTTCTACAACAGTATGAGCTCAGTAAATAGGTATTGAATGACGGAATGAATTAGTATATGCATAAAAAAACCCTGAAAAGATATATTAAAAACTAATTAAAAGTGTGGTTACGTAGGGTGCGGTAGAAGAGGGTCAGTGGTGGCAACAAGACTTCTAAATATATTTTTAATATCATTTTGAATTTTGAACCAGGTTAAACAAATAAAATCAAATTTAAAAATAATGTGACAATGCTAGAACCATGGAAGTACATCAACACTCCTTAACTTGCATGTGGAAGAGCAAAAGCACATGTGTATGTTAGTTGTGTGGGTAGGTAGGGCTCATTTCCTTGTGCCATGGCCCTGGGGGTGCTAGAAATAAAGACAGACCTAAGGAGTCAGAGACAGCACTCCCCTTTTGTGTTGGGGGTGCTGGCCATCAGCAAGAGCATGCACAGAGCCACTCCCTGCCCCCAGCTGGCTCTTCCAAGTTGCAGATGAGGTTTCTGACTCACACTTTCATTTTTCTGACAGGAGACGCACTGCACATAAGAGGAAGCATCCAGCACAATCTTCCCAGAAATGTGAATATGACACAACAGGGGCCTCTGGTATTTGCACTTACTACGTTATTTATCGGGAGGCGGGGGTCCTGTTTTTGCAAATGGGATTCCATTTTCTTTTACATTTGTCTACTTTCCATCATAAACAAATAAATCTGATTTTGCTTTTCCTTTAGGACAACAAAGGCGGCAGACATATCATCACTGTCCTAGCATAATTGAAGTGGAAAATCCAAAGGTTAATGTGCCTAGAGGTTCACACTTCTTAAGATGTCTAAGACTTTTGTAAATCTAAGCTTTGACACTTCAGAGCTTATGTATATTTCAGACAAGAAATTGGATACTTTTCCCAGGATACTTTAGGGGCAGGTCTCTGGCTCAGAGAAGCCTAGTGAGGGCCCACATCCATCACACACTTCCTGTTTGGGGACCATCACCTGCCAAATACCCACAGAACTGGTTTGGCTTTCGCTCCGGGCTTAGCTGAAGGGGAAGTATTTTCCCTGCATGCTGGGAGATCTTCACTTCCTACTCATGAGTTCAAGTTTAGACATGCATCTACATCTGTAGGCAGGGGTCAGGGGAAGCCAGGGAGAGTAGAATTCATCCAGGAGAAGTAATTCCTGGCCAAGTGGAGTTGGCAGTCTCTACGTGGGTCTCATTTTCAGTATGTGTGTGGTCATGGCTTCTTTAAGATGAAGCAGTTTTTGATGGAAGCACGGTGGAAGCGGGAGACACACACTGGGGGCTAAGTGAGGGTTTGTTCTTTCCTCTCACTCTGTCCCCATGTCCTTTGACTGGAGGAAACTGACTTCCTGGAGGCCAAACCACTTCCCCTCTCTTCCTCTCTGAACACAACTGCACTCCCCCCCCCCTACCCCCCCAGTAGTCTCCGCCCTCTAGGAAGGGCCTCTTTATTTGCTAGTTTTTCACTTCTCTAACACAACCACCAGCTGCAGTGCCTGAGTGGCCCCTGGGTCCTAAGCCACGGCAGACAGAAACTTAAAGGCACACAACTGCCGATCAAAGTTGTTCTCCCAACTTGGCAGAGGGGGCCCCCCCAAAAGGTGGGCAGGTTGAAAACCTTGTTGCTTCAAGCATATGTATGTATTTGTACTCCTGTGTTTCTCAAACTGCTCCCTAGAACATTAGTTCCTTGAGTTGTGACAGATGTCCCCAAAGGGGAGAAAAGGGTTCAGTGATCAAATAGATTTAAAGAGAGTTTCCTACTCTATCTGTCTCCTGGAGATTTCTAATTCACAGTAGGATAGTAAAGTCTCTAAGAAGGTCTGGAGTAAAGAAACATTTTAAAAATTACTTACTCCAAATTTCTCAAACTTATTTTGACAAAAAACAAACAAAACCTTTTTTCCTCTCAACTCCTGCAAAATATGGTAGA